TCAGAACTAAATGCAGCAGCATCGGCATCGCATTATGTCTTGTGGTCGCACATTCTTTTGTTGCCCCTCAACCGTCTCAACCCCAAACCCCTTGAACACTAAGCCACCAGACACCTAAACCATCGCACCCACTAAACCCTGAAACGCTTCTCACTAAAGTTATTTCGCCATGAACCCTTAAACCCTCAGCTGGGTCCCTTGCCAGTAGAGCGGGCCTTTGAGGTACTCCGAGGTGTACTGCAAGTAGACCTGCTCGAAAAGGCGCTGGTCGGCGACAGTCTCGACGTACTTGGACCTGGGCTGAGTTAACACCAAATCCTTAAACCCATCAGCCCTTAAACCCTTAGACCCTGAACCCCCAATCCCGCTACCCATAAACCCATAAACCCCAAAACCCGAAACCCTCAAACCGTAATCTCTGAACACAGTCAAAGCGTCTTCTCTGCCGGCTTGGTCTCGGCTTGGCGTGCAGCGCGGGCGCGGAAGGCCACCGCAAGACCGGCATGAGCTCCCACCTCCCAAAAGATGTTATTGAGGTGTTAGGGTTTCAGGGGTTAGGGTTTTAGGGCTAGACTTTGCGTTTTTGGCCTCCAATGATAGTGAGTGTAGGGTACTTGGGGTTCATGGTTAGTTATAAGTGGGTTTTAACAATAGGGTAACTAGAATCAATTTTTCTATCAGCTTTCATTAATTTGGGTCATGACTCAAAGTTCTAGGGCTCAGACTTTAATGCTGTCTAGAGCATCTAGACTTCAGGGGTGCGGGTCTATGGTTTAAAGTTTAGGGTTTCGGGGTGGGGCTCTGGGTTTTGGATTTCATTCTTTGCACCCCTTGTGGCACCCCTTGAATTGAACTAGACTGAGGTTTTGCCAGATGCTTCAGGGCTCTATGAAGGCACACAGATAGAAGGTTGACGGGGGTGCATAGCAAGAACAATAACAGTACTCTTAGTAATGATAATGCTAGCGGGCTTCGGGATCCAAAAAGGAAGGAAAACTCATAACCCGTATACATGCCCCCAATCGCAACTGCTCTACACCCCAAACCTTGGCTTAGACATCTCAGTACTGACCGGCGGGCTGCGGCCAGGCCAGTACTCGAGATGTTTCGCGTGGCTTCGTGTGGCCAGGCAGTACTCAAGATGCTTCGTGTGGTTTCGTGTGGCCAGGGCAGTACTCGAGATGTTTCGTGTGGTTCCGTGTGGCCAACTCGCTTTCCGAGTTGAAATTACCCATGGGCTCCATAGTAGTTCCTTTTTGTGGCTCATATTTAGAATCCTACAATGTGATCCCAAAAGGAACTACTATGGAGCCTCTAGGTATCTGGACCCCAAAAGCATGCAGAATAATCGCTTTCCTTAGGTGTTGGGCCATTGTGCTACCGACTTTCTGAAATGGTCACAAGGTACTTCCCCAAATCATACTAGTACTTCCTAATGCAGATATTCTACTACAAGTATGTAGGAATGTAGGGTAATGGGGCCTCAGTATCACCGCGACTCTACGTGCCATTCATCCTGAGTCCTGCGGAAACACGAAACACCAGAGCTGAGATGACACTCCCAGACCTTCCAAAATCCCTTAATTAAGGAATATACCTTAAGTTATAATAGGATCCCAAATATGAATTAAGGTATATTCCTTAATTAAGGGATTTTGGAAGGTCTGGGCTGTAGCCCTTATGGGAACCGCTATAGGGGCTTAAGGGTTTTCTTATTTTACAAGGCTTCATAAGGGGTTTATGAGGGTTCGTAATGTTTACAAGGCTTTGTGAGGGTTTGTGAGGCTTTCAATGACCCTACAACCCCTGATAGAACCTTTAGAGGTACCCTTATAGGAAACATGGGTCCATCCCTGTAAACGCCATCCAAGGCACAGCAAGTCCTGCAGCAGCCAGGCCCCATCCTGTCACAGAATTTCAAGGGATCCCCCAAACGGTTCAGGGTTTAGGGTGGTGGCTTCATAGACTTGGAGGTGACTGTTTATAGGGACTTCAGTGGTTTGTACTGCTATCTCGTTTCAGATGGTTTCATAAAGGCTTACTAAAACCGGGGGCTCCTGCTGTTTAGCTTCTGATCTAGAGTTGGGTCCCACATTTCCGCACTTCCATTATCTGACGAATAGGCAAGGAACATCCTTAACATAGTTCGCTTTTCGGCTTTCTGTAAAAACGATACTCGACCAGACCCTGTAGTCCCACACACTTGAATGAAGATTCTGAAACCTTCAAAAAACCCTGGCAGTGTGCGACAGAACTGTTTTCGCTCGGAACAGCAGCCAGTAAGCCAGATGTAGGAACATCGCATGAAGCCCAGTCAGCCAGATGGCCAGTTTGCTGTCCCTACACATGCTAGGGCGTAGGATAGTGTAGAGTTTGGGGTTTCCGAAACATACTAGCCCATCGTCTCAGCAACTCTGCTTCTTAACCCCTGAATCTCTAAACGCTGGACGTGCAAGCCCTGTACCCGACCACTTCAACCCGACGGGGGCCACCAAAACCATGGCATGCTCTAAACCCTCATAGAACTCTGTTAGGAAGTTAGGATCCTCAAAGAAGCCAGATAGCAAATAGCACCGCTGTTGTCCGAGATGCCTGCGGCCGCAGCGGGTGGTGCCGAGGACGCCGCCGACTTAGCGGCGACGAGAGGTGCCGGGCGAGCCGCTGGCGACACAAAGGCCTCGCCAGAGAACCCCAGAAGCCCAGGTACTCCTGTGGAAGAATACCCATAGCACAGAACCCACGAAGCCCAGGTACCTCCGTATCGTGAACCCGAAAAAGTTGGAACCGGATTAAGGACAAATAGTGCTGGGATTCTCTATACATTCTCTTAAGGACTGAGGCTACTGGGCTTCCAACATCTGGGCTTCTACGGTAGAAGAATACCTCTATAGGTTCTCCATTGTAGTTCGTTTGGGGGGGGATTTCAGGGTACTTGAACGATTGTTAAAACTGGTTAGACCAATAGGTAACGCAGAAGACTCTAGGTGTAGAGTTGAGGGTTTGCGAATATAAGAGAATCTCTATGTAAAACACGCGTAGTGGAAGCCGCACAATCCTGCTACTGAAAGCGAACAAGACCTAATTGGGCCATGATCCCTATCTCTATACATATTATGCTGAACTTAGGCCCCTAGCGAAGAATATAGTTTTAGCTGTTTGTTAGGGATTCATGGAACCCAAATATAACCATAAATTAATTATCGATAAGTACCCCTAAGATCTGAAGAGTAAAATCCGAGCATTGAGAGACTTGCCGTTCACTAGCATCAAAGCTTCAGTCCACACGACCTTGAACCCAAGCGCTCAAGACCCTGACTCATGATACTGGCCAGCCGAGCTGGACATCCTAAACACGAACAGCCCGTCCGTAGAACACCAGCTGCATCTATACTTTACTGACTTTACTGGACGAATATACCATGCTACATGACATTGAAGCAGTGTTTTTGTTTGTAGGACTATCTCCAACAAGAAAGCCCCAAACGAACGCTAATTACCAAAACAACCTTCTAGCACGCCGTACAACAACCCCCTCAGAGCAACTAAACCCTCAACCCAGAAAAGTCAGCGAACCTCGTAAGCAACGCTGGCAACGCAGAACGCCGCTACGCCGATCACGGCGGCTCTCAAGGAACTCATTGCGCACACTCTCGGCTGAATAAGGATGCCACAGGGAAGGCTTCTTCTTTGGGCCAGACTGCGAAAATTAGAAAATGAGTTTGTGGCCTGTAGGGTTCGTCTAAGGGACTTACATAAAGGGGGGAATCTTAGGTTGGGTTAGACGGTCAAACTCGAGCTAGCCCGACACGAAGCCCCAAACCTGGAAGCTCGACTGGGGACGGGGACGCCGGCGAAGTATACCACGCGTGGTGACTTGCACGTTCTTGTTCCGAAGCTGAATGGGGGTCCCGCCGAAGCCCAAACGTGTAGCATTTACGCGTAGGTGTATGTGTTCGTGTATGTAAATGTGTGCGGAATGTGAATGTGACTCTGTATGTGTATGCCTGTGTGCGGGTGATTATGTAAGTGCTGCTGTACTGTACGTGTGTATGTATATGTGTGCGTCTGTCTGTCTGCCTCCCTGCCTCCCTGCCTGTCTACAGTAGGTACTTGAATAGTATGCAAACACAAGATACAAGCTAATATGTATGAGTTTGAGCCTAACTGTAAAGGCAAAGATGTACGCATGCATACATATATGTATATCTATACAAGTATAAAAAATGTGTCGGAGCAATCATGGCCACAAATTTCGCTCCTGGCCCCAAAGTATAACTGAATAAACTTCCCCGCCCTAGAACCTCAACCCTAAACGCCACCCTGGACCCCGACCTTCAAAATCTCACCTGCCCTGCCGAGTGGCTATATGGCTTAGCCCATTTCATATCCTACAGTGCAAGGTGACTCGAAAAAGGACTTATAATGGAGACTATAGATAGACTAGAAGATCAGATTAGGCCCTAATGTAGGGGCTTTAGTAATTGGAGTACGGTTGTTGGGTATAGTCTACTGCAACCATCATAAGGAGCCCTATTCAGGAATAGTTTTGGTAGCCAATGCAGGCTCCTGTGGCAAGCCCCCAAGTCGAGGACTTGGGTGTTAGGGCTTGATCTTCCTCTTCCCGGACTTGGATTTGACAGGAGCTGCGTCGCTTTTAGGATCCCGCAGCCAGTGCCTGAGCTTGAGACAAACATGCAGTGCGTGGCAATCCTTCGGAACTGCACTGCCACCGAAAAGAAATCCACCCCTAGATGGCCTTGGGGCACGGATCGTGCCAGCATCTCTGGACACATCATTGGCTGGCAATCCGTGCGGCCACGATCATGCAGAAACTAGGAAGGAGATCGCACAAAGATTGTCAACAGTGTTGACCCAAACCCTAGGAGTACGAATTTCAAGATGACGTGTGATTTCCTGCCCGGTGTAGAAATTGTTCTGGAGGCCCTCTTCGCCTGGCAAACCGCATTGAGCGGCTGAAGACTGACTCGTGCCGAACGCAGTTAGAGCTCGGGCCCCGGAACGTCCACTTTCAGCACCAGCCGGTTCACTACCTTGCTAATTTGTGGTTAGGGTTCGAGGTGTTGTAATAGAGTGGTCCCTGTGAGAGAGGAAGAGAGAAAGAGGTAGAGAGCGAGAGAGGGAGGCAAAGAGAGAGAGAGAGAGAGAGAAAGAGAGCGAGAGATGTAGAGAGACCAGGACAGCAGTGAGACGGACAAACGGGGGGAGAGACTCAGATAGACTTGTCAATAAAAGATCCTACAACCAACCCTCGCAACGCTCGTGAAATCTCGACTTGAGTCTCACGGCTAAAAATGTAGGGGGTTTCGAATTGTGGGTTAAACTCTACTAAAACTCCCAAATCCCAAATCCTCAACTCGCAAACCTCCCGCTTGGGCCCTGCAGACACAGATGCCGAGCCATCTTGGTGGTACTGAACCTCTGCCGACTTGTGCACTAAGCCTTGCACCATGTGGGGTCAAGGGTGTCGTGAATTGTTCTGCAAGGTCGAAGGTTGAGGGCAGACAAAATGTCCACATTAGAGCCTTTAAGCCCCGAGTCTAGTTCGCAAGGGTGCCTCGATAAAGGATTGGGGGTTTTAGTTTGTAGGGTGATTTGAAATCCAACCTGCCTTGTCCGTATCTGGAAAATCCCTTTCAAGTCTTTGTGCAAGCTTTTCTTGGCTATTGCTGGGTTTCAACATAATAGCAGACATGCGCGTGTACGCAGGCCTGGCCGAAAGTTGCTTTCTTTTTCATCCGCCTACACTGTACTTACGAGTTCAGTCGACGCGGCCTGAGGGTCCGAGAAATCAAGCTCATCATCCAGGATCATGTTTGACCGATCTTCGCTCGACATGTTTCACCCGAAACCCTGAACCCCAAACCCTAAGCCTGAACCCTGAACCCTAAACCCTGAACCCCAAACCCTAAACCCTAAATCCTGAACCCTAAACCCTGAAACCCGAAACCCCAAACCGTGCTCTTCAGGAACTACAGCCGAGAAGCCTGCACACCCACACAACAAGTCTGTATGCCTTACCCTAGGCTTCCACGGACCTTATTATGGGGTCCTTAAGGGGCCCTAACTATAAGGTCCTTGGAAGCATAGGGTTACAGACACCTTAGACTCAGCTGTACCCCCCCTGAACCCCCGAGTTCGTGAAAGTCCTGAAAGTATAGATGGGATGATTCTGAGAGTTGGTCTTCAAGGACTTATATGCTTGTCCAGTTTCCAAGGGGAACTAGAGTAAAGGGTGACCTTTGGGACCATATGGGGATTATAATTGTAATCCCACAATGTCACGAATACTGACTCCGCGACCCTGCTAGAAAGATGGCACTAACTCTCTGGTCGAAGGTTCATGGCGAAGTGACAAGATGTACTGCACTAGTTGAACCCTGAACCCTAACCCCAAACTCTAAGCACTAAGTCTTTAACCCTGAACCTTAAATCGAAAACCTGGCCATGTACACAGCTATGCAGGTTCGTCTATCAGGCAAGCGAGCATGCCAGCAGGCGTTGGGGTCTAGGCTAGGCGTTTAGTGTACTTAATGTTCAGAGTTCTGGGTTCAGGGTAGATGCTGCTTTCGAGTGAATTGTAGGGCCTACAGCTGATGGCCTTGCTCTGTGCTGCTGGCTGCCAAGGTGCCCGTTGCACCTTCGGGGAACTTCTGGCCTTTCATGAGGAGCACGTCCCCGACCTAAGCTGAGGATCGGTTCAATACAGACGGAGGGGGTCTTACTGAAAAGAACAGGATCTTGTGCTATACCGTTGTATAGCAATCACTCCGGCCCTTATAGTGTTTGAAGAACATGTGCAGGGCTTCAAAGTAAGGTAAGGGGTTCGCCCAACACGGGTCCTAACATAATGTGAGAGATTCAGAAACAAGAGATACCTTAGAAGCTGCCCCCCAGAAACAAGAGATACCTTAGAAGCTGCCCCCACCCTGTAATAGTGACTATAAGGATTATATTAGGGCCCTATTATATTCCGATTAAACCACTATTACAGGGTGCGGGCAGCTTCTAAGAGACAAATCTGAGGACCTGCTATCATGAGAGCTTCAGAGCAGTAACGGCCCAACGGCCCAATATCTATCTCTGCTGGAAGGATGCGACATGTGAGAAGCCCAAACTTTCAGAAACCTCATATTGAGTCATATTGCGGGTCCTTGCCTGAAAAGAACCCCAAAACCCCAAACCCTAAATCCCTGTATCCTAAACCCCGCGTTTTCTGAGATGGCGATCCTAAATTCGAGAACCTTGGAACACCGACTTTTAGGAAGTCCAGCGGCGTTCACCGATCGAATTTGCGAATTATCCTGGCGGCTCCGGAATAGGGCTTAGGATATAGGGTTTAGGGTGTGGAGTTTGGGGTTTAGGGTTTGGGGTGTTTGCGTAAAACCCCAAAGTGGGTAGGAGAATTGCCCAACACCTACTCAAGGCTATTATTGTAGGGGTCCAGGCAGGGTCTAGGGTATGGGTTTAGGGTATAGGGTTGAAGGTTTACCTACTAGAGCTCTGATCCACGAATATCGAGGCCTTCCCTCATGACGAAACCCTCATGTAGGGTCGGTTTGCCCTTTAAAGACTTTGCAATGTCAACAAGCTCGGGGACAGGATGATATGGTCAGCGGGTACAAGGCCAGAAAGCTACTCGGTTGGCGTTGGCCTTGCAAGGCCTCTGAAATGCTCATGAGGAAGATCCTCTAAAGCCCAAGGGAAAACATCAATTAACCAAAAGGCCTACCCAGTGGGGCAATCTATAGGGGCCTTGATAATTGCCATAAAAATATTGTCTGGGGAGTTTGGGTATACGTATGCTATGTATGTATATATATATATATATATATATATGTCTGTGGTAGTAAACATATTATTGGGAAGCCTAAGTAGTAGAAACTACTAGTTCTCAATAGTCCTGTACTACCTGAACCTACTCCCGAAAGCTACTTTTGGACAGGGCCGTTGCAAATTTTGGTAAGTAAGCTAAGGCTACAGTAAAAACAACATTACCTACCTTCTCCTTGAGATAAGGCTGAACTCTGAACCCTGAATCCCAAACGTTGAACACGAAACCTGGAACTCAAAATCCGCTACACCCTGGATCCTAAGCATGTGAGTCCCAAGAGCCAACTTCCCAAACATCAGGGACTTGATAACGGATCCAGTCTAGGAGTGACCTTTGTTCGGCAATTTCCCCCACAGACCTTCGTCCCACTCGCAGAGCCACTTATGGAACCCTCATAAGCGCCCTTCCAGATTCCTTAATTAATTAAGCAGAGCCCCAAGTTAACGCTAAACCCTATAAGCCCTATAAACCCTATAAACCCTGTAAACCCTATAAACCCTACAAACTCTATAAATCTATAAACCCTAAACCCTAAACTGAAATCTGAACCCTCATCCCCCAAGCCTGAACCCAGCGCGCCTTAATGATGCAGGCATTGTTGCCGCAGTTCTCTAGCTCCCAGAAATCCACGTTCTCATCCTGCGTTTCGGGGTGTAGAGGCAGCGAAACAGCTCTCTCTGTCTCTCTCTCCCTCCCTCCCTCTCCCTCTCCCTCTCCCTCTCCCTCTCCCTCTCCCTCTCCCTCTCCTCTCTCTCTCTCTCTCTCTCTCTCTCTCTCTCTCTCTCTCTCTCTCTCTCTCTCTCTCTCTCTCTCTCTCTCTACATTCTCGCCCAAAGGGTCCTAGGGGTCCTAGGTAGTGCTACTGGGGATACTTCCCCAAATCATGATCGTAATTCGCAACTTAGAAACCCTACATTCTACTCTTATAGGTATTTTGCACCCTTTTGGGTAGAAACTCTTCAGGATGCAAGACAGGTGCCTGAGAAAGTCAATGGGAGCATTCGATCCCACAGGGCCCAGGCCCCAAGGGCCCAAAGGACCCGATAATAGGGGTTTAGGGTTCCTTTAAAGGGGTCTATAAGGGGCTACTATAACGGTTCTAGAATATAGGGGCCTGATAATTAGGTACTCGGCTTTAGGATAGTAGTTATGTAGGTTAGGATTTCGGAGATATACACTGCCGTTATGGAAATAGGCCCCCGAAACCATAACAGAAATGGTCTTTTGGTGCCTAATCCCCAAATGCTAGTGTATATGGACCCTCTGGGTATTGTAGTAGGAGCCCTACGGAAGACTATTGGTATTCATTGAGCTTTCTATATCGCTCGGGTTGAATCTTATCAGACGGGTTCAGGGTTCATTACAAGGTCCATGGTGCTTACAATTTAGAGTCTATGGTGACTTCCCGAGTTCTTGCATTAGGGTGATGTACACTGGCCAGGGCGTAGGAATCCTTTAGGTTATCACATCTACTTTAGCCCAACCGTGCACAGCAGCTTCCAACCTCGCAAGACTCTTTGAAAGGCTCGAGACTACGAACTCTGCAGTCAGGTAGCTGCTGTGTACATCGTGCCCGCTGAGTTGTAGGAGATGATGGCCCTTGCGGCGTAGTTGTCCTCGATGACTCCGGTCAAGATCCCTCACTCCAAAACTCTGCAATCCTAAGCCCTGGGATGGGAATCCAGCCAATTCAACACTCGCAATGCATGCAAATCTATATATATATATATATATATATATGTATATATGCATACCCGAAATCTCAACTCCAGTTAATAGAACAAGCCCTCATAGATACAACTTATGAAAGGTTTTGGCCTCCAGGGCTCGTTAGTGCTGATCGGTAAAACAAACGAACGGTTCGACGCCTGAACCCTACAACTCTACTTATCGTCTCCATCGTAGTTCCTTTTTGCGAATACCTTGTACGAGCCGATGTAGAAACATAGTATTCCTGACAAAAGGAACTACACTGCAACCCTAGACTCTATCCCGCTAAACCCTAAACCGCCTAAACCCATAAACCTTATAAACCCTAACCCGTAAAGACTCGACCCCTCAACCCATAAAGATTAAACCCCTAAACCCTGGAGTTGAGCCAGCTAAGCCACCCGATGCCATCTGCTGCAGGACCGCTCTCCAATAATTTCGAGCTTGAAGTCAAACCTACGCAGCGAAAGTGCTCTAGGTGTCGATTCAACACTCCCCACAATTACCTATAGTTAAGTCTCTACAAGAAAAAACTTAAGGACACGAAAACTATCCCAACTCGATACCTAGGTGTTGCATGGGCTTACAATGTGTTTGATCTTGGGGTGCTCCGTGAAGAGTTAGTGCAATGGTGGATATGGACTTACAGTTGCAGGTGCAGAAGCATTTACGATTTAGGGTTTAGGTTTGGTGGAAGCCTTCGTCATTGCTTGGAAAGCCTTTTGGGCCACAGTAGAGTGTACACCCGTACAAAAGTTCTTTTCGGATACTGTAGCCAGCTATTCAAACCTCTGCAATAATTCCATCCAGTGATCACAACTCAGAGTTTCAACGATCGCTGCGACCTGGACAAGAATTCCCCTCTCAACACAAAAAAAGCCTAAAACCCCAACTTCAAGCCCCAGACCCTTACGAAGACCGCGCCCCGGTGCCGAACCAAGCTCAAACACAACCCCTATAAGAACCTTCATAGAATGTCATAGAACCTGTCAGGAGGAAACCCACACCGAACCCTGAAAGCCTACCTGTTGCTCCAGGGGCAGAGCTTGCAGATGACATCTCCGAGCTCGCAGAAATCTTTCCTCACGGCTGCGCGCACATCTTCGGGCAGCGTGACCTCGTGCTCTGTGGTTCTGAAGGGTTTAGTGCGGTTGGGGTGTCAGTGGTGGTTGCTATTGTCGACAATTGAGAGTTTAGTTTCGGGCATGTTATAATGTAGACCCCTGATGATTAAGGCCCCTCCCTTAAGGGCCATAATTCTCGGATCCTCGTTTTATTCCTTCTTCGGAAGATAGGTAACAGGAAGGGAGACTTCAAGATCAGTAGGATGCCCTGTTTACGACACACATAGGGTTTAGGGTTCCGGGCCATGCACTGCCCCCATACTTGGAACCCGGACCTTCTCGACGACTTCCTCCGCAACCTTGCCCAGGTCCCCCAAGAAGTTGGGTCCGTTGGTGACTCGACGAGAGATCTCCTGTCATGATGTAGGGCTTCATGTCCAGGGCACAGGCACTTAGGGTTATTGGGCTTATAAGGAATATATAGTAACCCTGCAAAGTCGTGAGCCGATTCTTGTTCGCATCTTCTTCGCGGTCGCCACAAGCATCCTCATCTTAATCCTCGGCAGAACCCTAGTTACACCAAGTCTCAAGCCCTGAAACCTTAATGCATAAGCACTAAACTCCACCCCCTCAACCCTAAACTTCCTAAGCCAAAGCATTCCAACACTATATGGGGTTTCCGAAAATAATTAGGGGACCCTAATATAGTACCCTAAATAGTAGGATCCTTATTATAAAGGCCCCAAAATAAGGTACCCCTAAGTTTCGGAAATTCCCATAGGTGTACACTAACTACGTGGCGCCTCCTCTGCACCGAACTCACCTCTGTTGGCTGACTGGTCGACTGCCTCCGACGTGTTAGGGGTGTGGGTTTCAAAGAAGCTGTAAATATTTCGATGTGTATATACATATACATTATACACACTCTCTTTGTCTATGAACTTATCTATTTACTGAAATATTGTTCTATCTAAATATGTATTACTCATTTTCGTTCGTACCTATTTGTTTGCTTGTTCACATCAGTCACAGTCGTAATCAAGAGTTATAATAGCAAAGGTAAAACAAAAACAATGGTAATACAATCATGCATCATGAAGACAACCCTGATGCTAGTGGCAGTTGTGATAACGCAAACTAATTCTGAACACTGATTCCAAAACCCGAACCCCGGTTTTGCTTCTCGGCTCCGGGGAAGCCACAACTAGAAACCTCAATATAGGGGCTTAAGACGTTGGATAGAGCCTAGGGTTGAGGGTTTAGGGTGGAGGGTTCAGGCATAAGGGTTTCATGACTATACAGAGGCATATTAAGGGCTATTGCGGGATACTGTCTATTGCAGAATTCATCGCTGGCCTTTCGGGTTTATACCTCGGGCCTCTGCAAACAACGTTCCCTGTAGAAGCCATAGGTGCGATGCCTCATTGTGTAGGCAGCTGGGCTGCTATGGTCAGAGTTTAGGGTGTAGGGTCTAGGGTTTGTTGTCCCTGACAATCCAAGCTTGCAGTCTAGGTCATCCAAGGTCTCGGCAGACAAGGTCCTGCTCTCAGGACTTTCAATCTTAGCTGAGTGGTGAAGCCAGCTGTTTGATGCTCCAGGCACTAGTCTCACCAATTACTCACCCAACAGATGCCCAGAACAATGATTTGTATCACTCTCCTGGAGCAAATACAGATTCAAGAACACCCACAAAAGTTTGGAAGAGAGCTTGACGTTTGCCCTCGGAAACAATGCTGGGTTCATGATTTTTGAGCCCACAGTGAGACGTGCGGGAAGAACTCGATAATTGAAACACATATGACTTACAATCAGAAGCTAGAGACAAAGCAATGAATTTCACTTTTTCAAAAGGAAACAGATTCCAGACGGTTGACCAATGCCGCAACATCTTAGCACAGCAGAATAATCACAAACCGTCACAAACCTACAATACAGCGAGACTGACAATTTAACACTGTTCACATCATATGGGCCGTATGGCTGTATGGATCAGTATTGTCAACAAAGGCGACAATGCAAGGACAAACACAGTGTGATCATTGCTTTTTTTGCTGAATCAGGTGTTGAATTGTTGAACGGATCCAAAATGTGATCGACTTGATTTTGAATTTTGAACACTACATTAGTCCGAAATTGGTCTGATAGCTGATAGACATCCTGCAGCTCGGCATGAAATATGCAACAACTTGCAACAACGAGCAGCTCGGCGCTGACTGGGTCTGCATGCCTCACAGTCACAGCCAGTCACAACATGCACAGTCTCAGTATGCATACCGCACCTTGTTAACTTGTTAACATGGTGTAGCGTTGTAGCGGCGGACTGCAAAAGATATCCTTCAACTGGCATATGGCTTGATAACTTGATAACTGATGTCATGTCAGATCTACCATCTTAGACTCCGTTGCAACTTACTGCTTGATTGGTTGCTTGTGGCATGTGGATCTGATACCTTCAATCACGCAATATCGCAATATCACAATATTAGGGACTTGTGACGTTACCCTGGGCACTGGGCGTTTGATATGTGTTGATCTGTCGAGTCTGTCGACTACATGGCTGGCAAGGATCTGACCCTGACGCTGCAGCGACATGTACTGAAATGGACGCCAATCGGCAATCACCATGCGGCCATGCGTTGTAGTGTAGCAACATCAGTAACATCAGCATTATCATGTCTTCATGCCTTGCATATTGTACATTGCTCAGCGGCGGAAAGTGCGAGCCAGTGTAGAGTAGAGACAGCATGGTATGGACATGGAGCACTGAGTATATGAATATCGCTAGCATGCCTTAGCATGACTGTTGTACATGGGCTCCATGGACCATTTGCCAGTGGCGGCTGACATGAACCATGCACACTGTGCAACGGAGAGCAGCAATCACTAATATATATATATATATATATATATCGTTTGTTGTTGTATATGTAGAAACCAATTATATTGCACATGCATTATATACTTATCAAAATACTAGATACTAGAACGACAAACACTATGTTACAGCTTCTGGCGCCGTCGCGCTTGTGATCGACCGGTGACGGAGTTCTCAGGGCAGCCGGTGGTGGTGACGGTCGGTGACAGTGGCCAGCTGGTCCGATAGTCCGATAGTCAACCGGTGGACCCGTGGATCAGTGGCAGCTCAGTACAGCTGAAGTGCTGCAGTGGCGGTGCAGTGGTGCACTGGCGCACTGGCTGCACCAGCGGTGGTGGTGGTGGTGGTGGTGGTGGTGGTGGTGGCGGTGGTGGTGGTGGCGGCGGTGTGCATTGTGCATGACGTCGGGATGCCGGTGATTGTGAGATTATGGTTGTAGTTATACGTCTATACGTAGACAGTAGACCAGATTCGATAATTGACCTCACCGTCACCTCGATGCCGTCGTTCTCAGTGCCTGCGATGCGAAAGGCTGTCAGGCTGTCAGGGGAAGGCACTGAACGGACTGAACGGAGCCACCAGAGAAGTTGCTAGGCAATCACTAGGCAGTGCAGTGAACTTGAACTTGGAGACTTGCTGAATCAACAACAGTAGTAACTGCAATGTCAGCAACAGGTATAACAATGTCGCAGCGACTTTCCCAATCAACCAAGTTACAGCAACATGCAAAGGGCAATGGATGCTTTGCGCTTGAAGCCCTTTCACTGCAGTCAAGCGTGTGAACAGAGGCTGCTCCTACTGCACCCAAAGCAGGCCTGCCACAACCACTCGTGTTGCGACAGCACCGGACTCGCATTGGAGGTACACAGCTGTGCTCAGCGCGGTTAAGCAGATAGATAGCTGACAGGGCATCAGAGCATCAGGCATGAAAGCAATTGATTGCACAAGGAAAGAATATATATATATATATATACATATACATTTGTTTTGTGTTTGTTTTGTTTTTTTTTGGTTTGTTGTGTTTGTTTATATGGTAGTATTATTTATTTTTTAAAGTATTTAAGATATTGTTTGTTTTTTTAATTTTGCCGTTATCTGTGTGTTTTTATTCCGGGAAACCCAGATCCATGAGCCGGCTCATCAAACCCGGGCCGGGAGGCCCAGATCCATGAGCTGGCTCACCAAATCCGGGCCGGGAGGCCCAGATCCATGAGCCGGCTCATCAAACCCGGGCCGGGAGGCCCAGATCCATGAGCCGCTCACCAAACCAGGGCCGAAAAGCCAGATCGCCCAGATCCATGAGCCGGCTCATCAAACCCGGGCTGGGAGGCCAAGATCCATGAGTTGGCTCACCAAACCCGGGCCGGGAGGTCCGGATCCATGAGCCGGCTCATCAAACCCGGGCCGGGAGGCCCAGATCCATGAGCCGGTTCATGAAACCCAGGCCGGGAGGCCCAGATCCATGAGCCGACTCATCAAATCCGGGCCGGGAGGCCCAGATCCATGAGCCGGCTCACCAAATCAGGCCCAGATCCATGAGCCGGCTCACCAAATCAAGGCCGAGAAGCCCAGATCCATGAGTCGGCTCATCAAACCCCGGCCGGGAGGCCCAGATCCATGAGCCGGCTCATCAAAACCCGGGCCGGGAGCCCCGGCTCATCAAACCCGGGCCGGGAGGCCCAGATCCATGAGCCGGCTCATCAAACCCGGGTCGGGAGGCCCAGATCCATGAGCCGGCTCATCAAACCCGGGCCGGGAGGCCCAGATCCATGAGCCGGCTCATCAAACCCGGGCCGGGAGGCCCAGATCCATGAGCCGGCTCATCAAACCTGGACCTGTGGATTAGGGAAGTACATCTATATGCCAAATATACAATTCACAAAAAAAACAGAAAAACAAAAAGAACATGTGTCCATACATTTATAAACGTTGCATTACATAAACCTGAACACAACACAACAACATTAAAACAGTCTTTGTAGTAGACACACCTTCAAAATTCGTCGGGTCCGTGGGTGTCGACAAGAGGCGACCCCGGGCCAAACATCAATCACAGCAACCGGTAGCAGCAGGCAGTTGCACAGTGCACGTGGTATCTTCGGAGTCATTGGGTGATGAGCGATTAAGCTACGACCCAAACGATTTCAAACCCGATGTAGTTACGTGGCGGTAAGCTACGATTGCCGCAGTTCATTCGAGGCATGACATCCAAAGGCCTGGAAATAGGAATGGATTCCATGGTGCAGGTCGTACAATACTTCATGTTCCCGTCACTACAAGCTAGCATTGCAACGATATCAGCGGCGTAACTGCGATCTGTTTGCCTTCTTCTCAAACATCGCAAAAGCGTATCTGCAACGAAAAGGCCATGTCGACCGCGTCCTGAGTCAACTTATCATCCGTTCACTCTAAGACAATCCGACTCAGCAAAGGTGTGTACATCTGGGTGCATACAAGCAAGTGCATGCTAGGAGCGGTAGCATACGGTCAAATCAGCTGATGACTCCTGCACAGGTACAGCGACGAGGACTGCATGTTGCTCCATGATGTCAGCATATTCACTTCTACATGCATTACATACTCTATGTCTATCATCCCATGTCAGGCAAGGTCCACGTAAAATCTATTCACGCCAGCTGCGAATATCTAAATCAGTTATCATGTATCCAGAGAAACTATTAAGTAAAGGTGTTGGCGGAAGATATTCATGACGTCCTGACATGAAGCAAGCAACAAGCAATTAGTCTACTCAATCTGTATCACATGCCAATATATCAAGCACTCCATGTATCACCCTATTCCAAGACATGCCGCAAGTAACAAGCAATCACTGATTCGCATATATATGTCGCAAGTCAATATATCAAGCTCAAGGTATCAAGTTATGCCAAGCCATGCCGCAAGTAACAAGCAATCACGCGATCATATATATATATGTCACAACTGAATATATCAAGCTCAAGGTATCAAGTTATGCCAAGCCATGCCGCAAGTAACAAGCAATATCTCAATTAATTATGTGTCGTATGTTGTATTCAGGTATACTTGAGATGCTATGTATCCAATATATATTCCCAACCAGCACATCAAGCGACAACGTTCCAACATTATTTGTGCCGAGCTGCAGTGTTATCTATTTACAAAGTTTCAAACGATCAAAGAAGTATGACAAAATAAATCGTGGGCTGTTTCAAAACCACACACAAAATCCATCTGAAGAGAACAGAAACTCGCACCACACCAAGCTTGAGGCGTCAATTGAAATACTGGTCCTAGTACTACTTAATCTTACAGGAAAAAAACTAAAATCAAAATAAATCTCAGTTTCGCTATGACTAGCATCATTAAAAACATGACATTGTTACCACACAATAGAATTCGTTATGTTGGGCATCGAGAAAAAACATGACATTGTAACCACGCAAACACAGTTTTTCAAACCAAAAAAAATCATAAAGTCTAAGGAAAACTGAATCCAGTTATTCTTGATCCTGATCATAATGATTTGCAATGTCTATGCCATATAAGAAAAACCAAAAACTGAAGCTGATACTGATAGTGAATCCACTTACCGGGGCCTACCCTTACTCCCAAACAACGTTTGGCTCATGAGCTATCTGGCTTCACCCACAGAGGCAGGAATGAATGTCATGAGTCCTGCTCCCATGTAACCCATGTGAAGGTCCACAACCGAGTTCTCAAGTTTAATCTTTTGGGCCATTCTGTGGTCTTCTGCTAAGCCTCCATGCACCCAGACCAGACTTTAACTTTGTAAACACTGAACGCTGACTTCACACGCCTTACTGTTACTAGTCTTTCAGAAAGCCCTGTAACACCATCAACAAGAAAACCCAAACGCAAAGTCCCTAAAGCCTAACACCCAATCCCTAAACCCATCAACCTTACACACCAAAAACCTAGATACTGCCTCCACCCAATAAGAATTGAAAAATCTTTCCAACATGGAGTAACCCTGTTACAGACTGTGACTCTATGCGGGCAGTAGCCAACCTAGACCCTTAACCCCTGCATCATCGTCAGACCCCCGGCAAAGCGCCTCCTGGCAGTCTTTCCAGGAAGCTCTTCTCTCCAAAAGCAGGCCCTGCCGGCTTGAGAGCGCCGCTGTCGGAGCCCCAATTGTGGGGTTACTAAGTCCCCAGATGATATCGGTTTCTACCATAGTTACCCTACTTATAACCCCACTTGTAACTATCCATGGACCTCCAAGTAGGCCCTAAACCCTATAGCCAGCATTTAAAGAAGGGATTTCGGGTTTTTCGGTCAGGGGATATAGGAGATTGGGGCTTACAGGGTTTTAGTCGATAGTGTCCCATGATAATTCTGGGCCAAAAGGAGCCCTAAGAATCGGAGTACATAGGGCTTCGGACTTTGCCGTTGCACTATGCTGTACTGTCTTCATATATATGTATATATATATATATGTATATTTATATTTATATTTATTATTGTTGTATATATATATATATAACTAGACCGCAGCAATATACAGTACATAGGTTCAGGGCCAAGGGGTCGACCGCTTGAAGGATTTTGGGGTGTAGGCTCGCGGGTTGCCCTCAAGCCGAAACCACAAGCCTGAGATACACAAACTCAGGCTTAGGGGCTGAGCACCGGTTTAGGGTTTAGGGGTTTAGGGTTTAGGGGTTTAGGGTTTAGGGGTTTAGGGGTTTAGGGTTTAGGGTTTAGGGAACCCTAGCCCCAAAAAGGTTTACCTTTTCAGTTTTGGTGGGATTGTATCAAGCCCAAAAAGGCTAAAGTTCCCTACCAGCTTACCAGCTACTTAGGAGGAGTTCCCAAATGTAGAAGCCCGAAGCCCCAAACCGCAGCCTTTTGTATGAGAGGGGATGTACTAAACCGTCAGACTCCCAACTCCCTCATTGCTATACCTGTCAAGCCCCGAAATCCCCATGAAACCCCAAAGTCCTACTCCCTAAGAATGCCCAAAACCCTAAACCTCTAAACCCCTGAACTCCTACACCCGAAACCCAGAAAACCACAGACCAATACAGAATCCCTTCGTTCCGCCCCCTCCCCCGCCCCCATCCCTGCTCCCTGGAGTCAGCTCGGCGCCTGGTATTCGAGTGCCTCAGGTCTCAGCCAGTCCCTGTAGCTGGTAGCTTGATGGAGCGGTTCCGCTGGTCGAGAAACCTGCAGTCTTTTGTCTGAAGGAGTGGTCATATCTAATATGTAATACAGTTGGTGCAATACAATATGTAATAATATTGATTTGGGTTAAGGGCATGAACATCAAGGGCTTCGGGCTTAGGGCCTAAACCCCAAACTCTTGAAACAAAAACCTATAAGCCTCTCAAAGTGAAAGCCCCCCGAAGCTGGACCCTCAGGAACCTACCTTGTAGCGACTCGTCTGGAATCAGGTCAGTTGGGTCCTTCTAGATTCTATATCAAGGTGTATAATGAGAACCTACAGAAAAACAGCTGGTGGTAGCTCACGTCTTTTCATTAGAAGGGCCCTGAATGCTAAAGAACCCCTAAACCCTGAACCCCCAACCCTAAACCCTAAACCCTGAACCCCTAAACTTAAACCCCAGGCCCCGAACTCTAAGTCCTTCTTTTAGGGCCTATAGATCCCTTATAGCAACCGTAACCCTTAAAGACCCCTTTAAAGGAACCCCTCCTGGCCTTTAACCCTAAAGATGCCCTAAACCCTGAACCCCCAACCCTAAACCCTACCCTAAACCCTGAACCCTGAGCCCTAAACCCTAAATACTAAACCCTAAGCCCTAAACCCTAAACCCTAAGCCCTAAACCCTAAACCCTAAACCCTAAGCCCTAAACCCTAAACCCTAAGCCCTAAATCCCCCAAACCCCCCAGGCCCTGAACCCCAAGTCCTATTTTTAAGGGCCTATAGATTCCTTATAGCAACCGTAACCCTTAAACCCTCATAGACCCGTTTAAAGTAACCCCTCCTGGCCTTTGTCCTACATCAGTAACCCCTGAACCTCTAAACCCTGAACCCCCTACCCTAAATCCAAACCCGACACCCCAAACCCTAAACTTAAACCCCAGGCCCTGAACCCTAAAGAACCCTAAACCCTGAACCCCCAAACCCTAAACCCCCCAGGCCCCGAACTCAAAGTCCTTTTTTAAAGGGCTGGCCTTTGTCCTCTTCGCCGGTGGCGTCATCGCTACCGGCTCCAGGGGCCGAGAGACGCCGCAGGCTCGAGCGGTGCTCCTCCTTCGCAGCTGAACCCCTAAACTTGTTGAGTTTAGGGTGTAGGGGTTTAGGGTAATCCTAAACTGTAGAGTTTGGGGTTTAGGGGTTTAGGGGTTTAGGGTTCAGGGTAAACCTTATGAACCCTAAACCCTGCTATTTAGAGTTTAGGGTTTAGGGGTTTAGGGAACCTAAACCCTACCTGGACCCTACACAGAGCCTAACTTTTCAGATTCCTTTTTACGATTATATATGTATATATATATATATACAAGTCTTTAAAGAGGTAGGTTAATTGGGGTTATGGCAGGGTTTAGGATTTTCGGGGTTTAGGGTTGGGGGGTCTGGGGTAAGCCCGGTAAGCCCGATCAAGGCCAAAATCTGGGGTCGAGGGTTTAGAGTTTAGGGTTCAGGGTTTAGGGTTTAGGGTACGCTCTCTAAGACAATGAAACCCTAGATGAATGAACCCCAAATCCGAACCCCTAAACCCATACCAGCGCCCATCACCCGCAGCATAGTTGGGAACCGTAATTCTGGGCTTTTTGGCATGTTTTTGCAATGATTATCATAATAGGGAACCCTAATTAGGAATCATATTGGTAAATATTCCGGCCTCCAGATGTTACCCTGACACCCAAAGCAATGCACCAGGCGCCGGAAGTACATCTCTCGACGTCAAGTTCAGTTCCCAGAAAGATCCGAAATCACGAGTAACAATCGTCCGTGGCAACATGGAGGGTTTAGGGTTTAGGGGTCTAGCAGTCCAGCATACCTCACCAACAACCCTGCTCTAGCTATAGTTTCGCCCCTGAATGTTGCGTGTGCGTACATACATCGACACATTATACAACAAGACCTGGCAGGACCTGGCAGATATGTGACACTGCTTTGTAGTTGGGGAATATGCAGTCGGTCCGCCACATTGCCCGAACCAAGAATCCGAAACTCCGAACCTTTGCATTGAAGAAACAAGAACCTGCTACATCTAATCCCCCAAACATCCCAAAACCAAAAAAACAAGCACAACATGACATGTCAGTGTCGGGCAAGGATCTGGGAGATGACTTTAGCCATTCAGCTGACCTGAGAGCCAGGATCTAACAATGTACGACTTGGTTCAGGCTTTAAGGGCTTTTAATGAAGTTCCGGCGCCTCAAGCCTAAATTGTAATCTTCCTTAAACCCTACAAAGATATACGAATCTGGGACGACTGGCTGTTAATAGACTGTCGGAGCGGGTAGAGTTTGGGATTCAGGGTTTCGAAACCTTATTGGCGGCTTTTATAATGGCTTGTGAGCCTGCTTCGAATTTCGGAATCATTCGGGATCAGGTTGGGGGAACCTGGCAGAGGGCCGTTTACAATCGGAAAGCGATGTTGAGGTATAGAAATGTAGTAAAGAAAGGACTACTACTACAATCTGTGTTGAATCTGATTATCTACCCAGACCCCCGGAAGGATCTAGAAACTAGATCCCCTAATTTGGGGCCCTATACTACTAAGGGTTCTTTATAGGAACCCCCACTAAGGGATGTACTTTTTGGATCCTCCCAGGGGTCTGGCTATTCATCATGTTCGTCTGCTAAAGCCTTAAGCTTCATGAAGACCCCCAATCCTCGGCTCCTGCCACCTAATGTACCGGCCTGCATAATCATACTTTTGGGGTAGATTTAGATCCTACTAATATTCAGGACAGTAAGGGGATACCACTAATCATCCCCTCCCCCCCAAGGTTACATCGACAACTTTTATTCCAACTAAACCTCAGGCTAGGAAAGCCGGACCGAAATGCAGCTGGAAGACGGAAGTTGGAAGACTTGGATGATCCCGGGTCAGCTTTGACCGAAATGGCTGCAAGACTTCGGCACGACAGCTGTTCCAAAAACATGCCGGGCCTGGGATCAACAGGTTAAGGACTGAGGGTGAACGAAGGATATGGGAAGCCCGCGGGCTTTACATTGAGGGGCTCTAAATATCTATATCGATATGTGCATATATATATATATCATACATACACACACACACACATGTCAGTGCACGGTAGCGGTTGTTTCTTTGTACGCTCATATAGGTACGTGGTACATACATACCCGCCCATGCACACATATTGGACTGTCGACCCCAAGTGCGATCGGATGCTAAGCATCGACATGCGCCAGGAATGCCTCAACAGTGAGGCGGTACCGACTCCCACGTCCTCTGCTTCAAATCCTACGTCATCAACCGGAGGCAGCCCTCGCAGCCTCCCTCCGTCCCTGAACCCTAAACACCGCACCCTAAACTCTAAGCCCTAAACTCCAAGCCGCTAAGCCTCCCCCCCCCCCCCCAGCATGCAACGCGGGATATGCCAGACTTGACCCTCAAGCCCAAACAACAAAAGAAGGCCTCAAACCCCTCAAACACCCTTCACCCCAAGACCTCAAAGCCCTGAGCCCTAAATCTCCACACCCAAGAACCCTGAAGACCCTAGGCGCTAAACCCTAAAAGCCTAAACTCTATCTAATGAAAGGGGCCAGAGAAATTCAAAAAGAACTCGACCCAGAAAAAGTTGCTGTGCCTGGCTTGCCGTTCCATCTCTATCTGCCTTTGCGCCTTGCACGTGCTCCGGGAAGCTTCAAACGTTTCCCTTGGTGTCCACGTACCTATTTAGTTCGGAAACTGCCCCATACGAAACAGTCTGTAAAAGATGCTGCTGGCTACTCTGAAGGGCGAAGGTGAACAAATCCTAACGTTGCTAAGTGGGTGCAGTATCTAACTAATCATCATGTACTTTCTCCATATACGAAACTACAAATCTATACTATCCTAACCCCAGCATCTAAATCATCAGGTCCTTCGGGCCCTTCGGGGTCGGACATATAGGCCTAATGTCAAACTGAAACTTTGCGGCTCAAGCAGAGTATTGAAATCGGGCGTAGGGTTGCGGGTTGAATTGCGGGATTCGAGTTGCCGGTTTAGGGTTTCGGGTATAAGCCCTAAGGGTTTAGAGCTTTAGGGTTTAGGAGTTAGGGTTTAGGGTTTTAGGGTTTGTGGGTTTAGAGTTCCTGGCTTCGGGCTTGAGGCTACACCTATAGTCTCCATTGTAGTTCCTTTGATGGGTGAACCAGTTTTATGGCTAGGATCCTGAAATCGAGATTTAGGTTAACCAAAAAAAGGAACTACAATGGAGACTATCGGCAGTGTCCAGGATTCATGGATTCGTGGTTTGCTGTTTCCGCTTCGGGCTCAGGACCTTAACAGTGCGTCGGCTGCCAACATCCCCAAGTGGTTGCATCTGCTCTGGACTGCTGAACATACAGAGGCACAGCAAGGAATATGGAAATCGATCCATGGAGAATCATTGATTTAAAACTTCGAATGTGGATGGCTACAGACCGTACAGTAAACTGTGACCCTAAACTAGGGCCCCAAAAAAGCACATAAGCAAAAATTAGGATAGGGATATTCCATATAAACCCCCTTATAAGGAATCCCAATAAGGTAGGGATATCCCTCTAAAATGCTTATGCTTATGTGCCTTTTTGGGTCCCTATAAACCGCCTCAGGCTTCACGAAACCGCTGCAGCAGGTCGCGCCCTAAACCAAGAACTCTCACGAGGCCGCGAGAGGAAGAAGGGTTTCCAGCAAGTTCCAAACTAAACCAGAGGCCCTGCAGAGGCTGGATTTCATTGCTTCAATACGATTTTAAAGATCCGGATGTTGCGGTGTGTGGTCTGAACCAAAAGGCCCTAATTACGTGATCACATTTTGTGCTCCGCAGCCATTCCATAAGATCTTCGGAACCATAAATCCAAAACCGTACAAACCCTCGACCCTCGACCCTAAAACCTATGTGAAACCCAAGCCCTTAACCCCGACCCCATGCTCTTGGAAGTGCTTTGAGCACTTAACTTACCTTTGGTTAGTAGGGAATGGAAGAATGGTAGTCATAGTAGCTATACTTGTACCCCATTCCTCCATTCCCTACTAACCAAAGGTAAGTTAACGCACCCTTTGGGTTTCTGTGG